ATAATACCAAAGCAGGGATATTGTTCACAAGGAACGATCCTAAAACAAAACACATAAAATATATAAGCAACGAAATCAACATAAATAAAGAGTTAAGGAGAAGAGACATACCCATCACCACATCTGGTGCAGCATGAGCCTCGGCAGTCAACTGAAGAGCCCGACTCCTCACCACAGGAGCATCCGCCTTGCCCTGGAGGCCATCTGTGATCCGTAGGGTCGCAGGAGCTGGTGCTACCACTGGTCCTCCTGATGCTAAACTCGGTCATTTAGCCTTCTTGTGGTCCCTATGATTGCAATGAAAGCAAATCAGGTCTGATGTCTGAGTAGTGGTGATAGAAGCAGTACAATCCTTGCTAAAGTGCCCTGACTTGCCGTACTTATAGCAGCCTGAACCACCCGCCCTGCAAACCTAGAGTGGCTCCAGCCCTGTTGGCCCTTTGACCTAGAGTCGAAACCCTTGGGTTTCTTCGCTAAAACCCCAACTGTCAGCCCAGGCTCCGCCTTCCTCTTCCCTATGTCCTCCAGATCAATCTCTCGCTCCCGCACCTTGGCTATCATATCAACCAGAGTTGGGAAGGCAGAAAAACTAACGAATTCTCTGATGTCATATCTCAGCATATCATGGTATCGGGTCTTCCTCGTCTCCTCATTAGTCGCATACTGGGACACCAACAATTCCCTATCCCTGAGCTTGGCGGTGATCTCTGCCACAGTCTCAGTCGTCTACCTCATATCAAGAAACTCCCTGACTAGCTGTTGCACCTCAACAGCCGGTGTAACGTCTCATTTACACACGATAAAAACTGGATGTAATGTCTCATTTTCACAAACAAAATTTTCATTTTTTATTTAAGGTAAAACATCATTTCCATAAATCCCAAAGTAAGAAAACCCATATGTTCCAAAATACAATGGTTTGGAAATCAGAGTAACATAATAAATGTGAAATCTCCAATGTTTTTGATGAGTGTGTATAGTCACACCTTCGCCTTCTCACGATCACTAATGGTACCTAAGAAAACATTTAATCCATAACTGTAAGCCAAATCTTAGTGAGTTCCCCTAAAATACCACACACAACAATACACTTACAATGCATGCAAACACACAAGCCTTTAGTCTGACTAAACCGCCTCGCGAGGTCTACAATACACCTGGATCACTCTTCTGGGCCGCCAGTCCACGACTAGTCCCCCTCCCATGTCTACAGCATACAGTTGGTCTGCAGCTGGCCTACATCACACAGTTGGCCCGCCTAGGTATCTTGGACTACACCACGAAGTTGGACCGCCTCAACCCGCCACACGATATGTCGACATATAAATCAAACAAGCAATCAAACAAGAACATAAACACATGCAACTATCTATACTAGTCTATCTTCCTAACAGCTCACTACCACATATCGGGCCTCATATAGTACTCTACATCATATCACTAAGGAATTGATAGTTATATGTAATCAGATGTGAGATAGACAGTCGAACATGTGAACCCACTATAGAGCCACAACCAAACAAGGAACATGCAAGAAAGCCTAGATAAAGAGTTCTCAGGCTATCCTACATGACTGCATATAACCCATAGGGCACTCAACTAGACGATCACCGACCCCTAGTACTCTAACCAGCATACCCTACTCTTATATCCTAACATACAAAAATATATATTGTAACACATAGTATAGTGAGGAAACTCACCCGAATCGAAGACCCAAGGAAACACAACAACACCCTCACTCCTTGCGTTGATTGCCCTTGTGAACATAGTAGCACCAACCAAAGATAGATCCTTAATTACTAACCCAAGTCCTTCAAGTTTTACCCAAAGTCAAAATGGTCAAAAGCCAACTATCAACGGTCAAAAAAAGTCAACGGTCAACCATATCAATGCTCACCAAGACGTGGAGATCTCTTGGCCACGTCGTGGGCATGTCAGGACAAAACAATCGACATGCAAGACCTCACCACATCGTGGCAATCCCTTGGCCACATCGTGGTTCCTAGCAGAATTCCATACTCTTCATTAAGTGCTTAATCCTTACAGATCTGAACTCGTAAGTTCATATCTGGTCCATTTCAATGACTTAATGGATAGAGTTTCCAATTTTATCCGTTAGGATTCCACCACAAGGCAAGATCTACAACTCTATAGTCCTTAATGTGACCCAAACTTGTGCATGGATACAAGATGACTCCAAACATGGCTCTTTTCTCAATCATCAGAAACTTAAAGACCAGAAGAGGACCATAACAAGCTTTCGAGTTCCTCAAACTCCAAGAACATCCATGGAAAGGACCAAAACTACCAAAAATGATCCCAAACTTGAATCTAGAAGATAAAATGCCAAGGTTCGAACTTTATACCTCAAATGGCTTAGAAATCAGAAGAGAATGATGGATCACAACCAGCTCTTTACGCTTCCTTGCATCAATGTGAACTTCCTTTTTCCTCAATCTTCACCAAAATCTAAAGAATAAGCTCTAAATCAAGACGATAGGCTCTCAAACATGCATGGAGGCTAGAGTTTCATGTTGAAGGGTTGAAGGATGAAGAGGATGTCCTAATCCTTGAGATTAGGTTCTTAAATATGGAAGAAACCTTAAGAATCATGGGTTTGGGCTGCAGTAGATGCCACGTCGTGGCGGCCATCAGATGTGCACTTCCTGAAGTTGCCATCCCACATCATGGTACTCTGCTCACCACGTCGTGGCACGAACTTTTTTTTTTCAAAAACCTTACATTTGGTCCCTCAACTTCTCAACTGATATCTTCAGCGAAAACCAATGTTACAATGAAAGCACATGGACCTTCAATAACACTAAAAAAAATAAGGACTAAACTTGATATTCTAAAAAACTATAGGGACCATTTATAAACATTTGCCTTTTCAATATCGTAATGCTTAAAAATATCTTAGTATTTATAATCTAAAATATTAAAAAAAAATAGTTCATTATAAAATACATTATTTAAGAAGTTTTGTCAGTTTTACATTAATAGTCCCTATTTAATAGAAAAGCTAAAGAGATGGTCCATATGTTTGTAAAATTATAAAAAGGGGACATGCCTAATAGTAAGTTACAAAAATGGTCCTTATATTTCACAAAGTTTCAAAAATGATCATTGCCGACTAGAAATTTTATGAGAATTGTCTATATGTTTCATAAAAAATATAGAAATTGTCCTTATAGTTAATAAGATTACAAAATAGTTTTGCCTAATAGCAAAACTAAATAAATGGACCTATTTTTTCATAAAATTATATAAATAGTCTTTACCTAATAGCAAGATAACATAAATGGTCTCTATATTTCAGAAAGTTACAAAAATACTCACTATCTAATAGCAAATTTACAAACATTGTCTGTGTTTCATAGAAAATGCAGAAATGAATATTATTTTAGAGACAATTACAAAAATTATGTCTAAAATATATGATTAATAAACCAATCACAACACGCGGGACACCCTGCTTATTTGACACTAAAATCAAAACATAGTAATATGTTTAGAAATCATTTTTAGTGGCATATTTATAGAATAACAATGTATTTTGTTTTAATAATTTTAATTTTAACATATATTTTTTTTATGTTTTGAATGACAACAAATAACTTTTTTTATTTTTGATAATATATTGATGGTGTTTTATGTAAAAGATAACAATAAGCTTTCCATAATATATTGATGGTCTTTAATGTAATAAATAACATAAACACATGCTTAAAATAGAAATTGAGTAAAATTTATTAGTATTCTACTATTCTATATAACGTAGAGTTTTAATTAAAATCTATAAAGAAGAAATAATCAGAAGTGGAATGAGATGCATTAAAAATTGGGAAAGCATGTGTTTAAATCTTTTATATTAGTAATCTAAAGAAATAAGATAACAACGTGAAAAAGGAGGGGGCCATGACCTCCCTAGGCATTTATAACCTTCCGCCACTACCTATAATACATATTACATTTACATAGTCTAACAAGTAATGCTGTGAAAGTGAAGCAATTCGGCATCTCCAACGTGGAGCTTGTCATGTCGACGGGCACACCGTCCCTTAAATTCGGCAAATTCGGCAAGTGAAGAAAAAAACATTTTCAGCCTCGTAGCCCAATATGAATTGAGTTTATTTATAACTAGGTGTGAAACTCGTGTACTACACGGGTTGATTAAAAAAAGTTATATATGAAGATATAAACTTTAAATATTTTTTTTAAAGAAAGCATTAAATATGAAAGTGTAAACATTATGTGTTTTTTAAAATAAAATTTCAAAATATATATACAAACAAAATGATAAATAAATAAATAATTCAATTTATACTAATAAAACAAACTACAGAAAAATAATTATATTTTGATCATATAACATTTTTTTTAGTTTGTCAATAAAAAGCAAAAAAGTTTGATTATTTTTTTATATAGACCATTTTGTCTAAAATAACAATAAATTTTAAAAGAAACATATCAATTTTGAATTATATATATTGAAAGAAACATATTAAAATTTGAAAATATAAGGAAACAAATTAATGACACAATAATTAGTTTTTATAACCTAAAAATTAGATAGTTAATTGAGAAAATTAAAAATTACAACAAAATGACAAGCGGAAATTAATTTCTAAGAATTAACCACAAACTTACATGTGTCCAAATGCATACAAAATTGACAAGTGGTAAAAAAATCTTTATTTATTAGAGAGGAATTTATTTATTTTTTATTTTTTCCCTTTCTTTTAAATATTGGTAATTGAGTAATAAGTTTAAGATCAAGATTTGAACGATCAAAACCGCAAAAATGTAATTTATTCAATAAGTAATTGCCCTTTACTAAAAATACGGGTAAATATTTATTACTCATATATATTGTTGATATACAAAATAAAATGAATTATTACACAGATTTAATTGATATAAATACAAAAGGAAAGCATTTATTGCCTCATTCTATATAAACGAAACCTCAGCAAAAATAACTTTCACATTAACAAAATGGGTTCCTCTATACTCAAAACACAAACAATCACAATGGTTCTATCAGTGTTGTTCTTGATTGTGTGTACAGGTAAGTTTGAAGTTTCCTATATAGAAATTACGAAACTACTTTGATTTCAATGAATAATACTCCGTATAATGTACAAATTTTTCACATGGATGCTAACGTTTGCATGTTGTGTTTATAAAAGTGGCTGAAGAGGAGAACAAAAGCGGTTTTTGTTATGACCCGCAACCGCAACCCAAATCAGATTGCGATGCACAAAAATGTTCTGATAGATGCCTAGATATGGGCTACATTAGAGGCCTCTGCAAACTCATTTATCCACCTACGCCTTATGCGTTTTGCGTTTGTGAAAAGCCTTGTACTCCTTCAGAAGTAAATGAGACCAATCTTTCCCCGAACTGATATTTGGTATCATGACATGTATGATACTGTTTTGTAATTGAATAAATGATAAATCATTTTCCTATTTGTTCACTGTTATCGGGAATTGCTAATGTTAGACTCCTTTCATGATGTTTACTCCTTACATGTTGTTTAAGGTATTTATAAGATTCTATAGCATGATTTAATATATTTTGGTGAATTTGTAGCAATTCGTATCAATCAAACGCAAAGAATTAGTAAAATTGGGAATTGAATAAAAAATAATTTTAGGTGAAATCTTGGTAAAAATAAGTGTTGTTTGGTTTGCAAAATGTATCCAAAGGAATTGGAATATGTCACTAATTGTAATCCAATTTCATATTGTGTTTGGTTAATGTAAAACTATAGAATTGTCATTCTTGTTTTTTTGCTTAAATTTACTTTATTTTAGAAATTATGTAAAAATATATTATATAAATTATAAAAATAATATATGATGGTGGTGTTGTTGGCCGTGGGTTGTGGGGGAGGTGGTGGGCAGTGGATGTGGTGGTGGATGGTAGCGTTGATGGAAACTTGGATAATTTTGAAATTATAAATGAGTTTTGAACTATTTCGTGTGGAAAGTAATTAAAAATTGTCAAAATTTTAGAATTGTAAGTTTCTGAAATTTTGTTGTGGACTTTTGATATGGACTATAATTTCATATCCAATCCAGTCCACACAACCTCAAAGATCAACTGCCTATATTCGTTTTTATATTTTTTCATCATTGGAAATCTCTATTGATTCCGACAAGGCCGATAAAACTAAAGGAGTTGCAAACTCCTACGTCACTAACCAAATCATTTATGTAGACAATACTTTGACAAGTGTAAAACTTTTTTAAGGCTAATGCTATAAGATCGGAAGGAGTGGACGGGGTAGAGACCGCACCTCCTGTGCCACCTAGGACGAAACTCCGCCCCTGACCGTTATTTGGGTGCGGTAGAGACCGCACTACGGCACTCCGAGGGTGCACTCTTTCAAGATTTTTGATCGGTTCCTTTTCCTTCAAGCTTTGTGATTGGTTCCTTTTTTAAAAAAAAATCCCTAATAAATAAAGATCATTTTGGCACATGTCACATTCTCATTTATTTTGACACATTTAATTTTGTGGTTTTTAAATTAATTTTTATTCCACATGTCATTTTATGGTTTTTTTATTTTATTAAATTCCAAATAGTATTTAAATGCAACAATAAATACATATCAATTTCATTAATGAACTTTCCTTTTAATTTCATAATTACTACGTAAAGATTCATTAATTTTTTTTATTTATTTATCTAAATTATTTGTTTAAATTTAAATGAGAAAAAACACTTTAATTTTTATAATTCAATATTTTCTCACTTTTCTTATAAATTCAAACTTTTCAAATGTTTTGAATTTTGTATTTAGTTTTTTCTTTTAAATAAACTCATTTAATACATGGGTCACACACCTAGTAAATAAATAAATAATTTGACGGTTATATGTCACTGCGGTTT